CCTCTGGTTTGAGCTATCTAGAGGCACTTGGAAGGAGGTGGGATGTTGGAGGGGACCAGGTCCTTGGGGACCCCAGGAGGTTGCTGTCATGGCCTTTGGCCTTTGTATCCTGCTGTGCTACAGCACTTGAGTGCAGGTCGCCTTCCGTGCCCTTCCTAGGCTGCAGCAGGGGCAGCTGCTGGAGGGCAGAGTCAAGAGCTGCCAGCAAGCCCTGAGTGCTCTGCCACACTCCCCCTCGGGGCAGCTCTCAAAGCAGGCTGGCAGCTCTCATCCCAGTTCACCTGAAAACGTGCAGCTGGCCCACCTGCCCATCACGGTGAACTTGCTGCTTGTCCCAGTTCATTGCTCCTGTTTGCTGGCCACAGGGACTTGGTTTCGGAAAGTGGAGTAGGTCTCTCCTCCCCTCTGCCTGCGTCGGTGGTGGCTCATGTGTACAGACCGCTTACAGCTCGGGGACTATCTGGACTTCAGAAAGCTGCAGCTGAGAGCACGTTGCAGGCACCATCTCGCCGCTTGCACCCCGTTTGTGTGCCCTTCCCTGGGCAGCTGCTTTGGCCCCTGGTGGAGGTGGGCGGTAGGGCTGGACGAGCCCCTCATGAGAGCGGGTGAAGCTGCTCCTGCAGAGCTCCGTGTGCCCGGCGCTGGCCGCCTCCTGCCCTCTAGTGCCCTCTAGGGAGCCTGGCTGCGGCCACTTGCAGAAATCCGTGCGGTTGGTCAGGAAAATAATCCTGCCTGGACAATGTGGTGCCACTCAGCAGTGGTCAGTAAGCCAAGCAGTGAACAGCCCAGGATGCCAGCAGAAATATTTTACCATGTCTGCTTAAAACGAAAGATCTGCTGTACGATTAAGGTTTTAGTGGCCAGATATATCACTCAAAGAGCCTTTGTTGCTGTTTGCTTTACACTCCAGCCTTTACCTTCCACGTATGATCGCTGTAGAAGTGCTCCTTGGCACCTCTACCTCCTCAGAGTCTATGTCCTGTGCAAAAAGAGATGTCTGAGGTGTCTTGTTTACTCTGGGCTCAAGCTGCTTCTTTGGCAAGCACCTTTGCCAGTTTGTGGATAAATTTTGGGCAGTTGTGCAGCTCCAGTTTTGTGAAGTGCTTCTAGAGCTGCTGCTCCCCTACTGTGTATGGTGTACCCCCAAATGTTTGCTCTGAAGCCATAGGTAGGTCAGAATCGTTTTTCTCTCCTCACTTGTGGCTTTCAGGCTTATGGGCAAGGCACAGGCTCTAACCTGCTCCTCCTGTACTGCGCACGGATGTATTTTCATCCCATTTTCCTTCCCTCTCTACTAGCCTTAGGAACTGTACCTCGGGTTTGTATTCCCCTGGCATCAGGGGCTTTAGAGGCATGTGCCACTCACTGAAACATTGGCCTTCAAATGCAACAGGAGAACCAACCACTGTGTGTGTCATCTGTGAGCAGCAGTAACCTGCAGGAGCAGGAGGGTGGAGGGACTTGAGAACGACAGCTGGAGCCAGTGCTTTGCTGCTGGCACTGAATTTCACAGGCTGCACATGCTACGTGAGCTTTGCTTTTCAAGATGAATTCACAGACCAAGTTGGTGACAGCGTTCTATTTCATCAGGCTTCAGAGCAAAAACTCCAGTTTCATCATTTAACTCAAGAGGAAGGAAACAGCTGGTATGCTGCAACCTGGAGCAGGCAATAAATAAATAAATACATGTTAAAAAATTGGTGTATTTTCAAAGTATGACTTCAGTGTCTCAGACCATACTCTAGAAATGTCCACACTCTAGAAAATTTCACCTCTGAGGTTTTAATGCTATTAGACAGTTAACTCAGTGAGTTTCTGGTTTCTGTTTTCCTTTCTCTTTTTTTTTTTTAAATTTTGATCATATTTTGATGTAATTACTTGCAGTTCAGAATCCTAAATTCCAAAGTCGGAGCTTGCTTGGCTGGGTGAGAGCGTGTGCCTGTGTGTTTTGGACCAGGATGTGTGTGCTCGTGTTTATGGGCATGTGCTCTTTTTTGTTACCATCATCTTAACAGGGGGTGGTGGCTCCTGCTTGGTACCTGATTGCATAAGCAGGTAAGAGTGGAATGAGTGAAAAATAGGAGCTGCTTTATTTTGTTCCGTGTTTAAAAAGCTATGGTCAAGGAAAGGGGATTTTTGGCTGACTGACCATCCCAGTTCATGGTGGCAAGAAGGCAGCATTTTTGAAGATAGGACCAGGAAATGGGTGAGTGCCTCTCACTAGTAAACAACCAGTCGTGGAGTATAGGAGTACTGGAGTTCCAGGCAGCTGTCCTGTTGGAGCTCATTTTCCTTCTTGCTCTCAGTCACTGTTGCTATCAGAGAACATGGCCATGTTCACCACAGTTCAATATAGAGGAAGCCCTTGCAGTAGTTCCACAAATCAAGAGCTGTTGCTACTTATTCTGATGAATTATATGAGCAAGTAGATTCAGACTTACAACTTGCCGACCAAAAAATTTGGTTGGTGACTTGGGGGAGTCACGCAGTGATCAATTCTGGGCAAGTCTACGGGGTACTTGCTGTGGGCTTTGGCTGAAGTGTTCAGAGGTTCTGATCATTGTGGAATGATCCTGTCCTATAGAAATCTGCAGGGATTAGTGTGAGACCCACTGCTGTCCAGTACTGGCACTAAACACAAGTCTGGGTGGTGGAGGGAGTGGTCAAGTATCAGCCCAAAGTAGGGTCACCATAGGCAGCCAAGCTACTAGGGAGCACCCTTTTAAAAGCTGTGCTCTTGTGCCACAAATAGGTACAATTAGACTCCAGAACATGTGTGCTAATCCCCGTGGGAAGGGTAGTGGTCTTTTAGAGAGCACTGTTTTGAGAAGGGGTTGGTGTTGCAGGGTACAAGCTACGCCTGAGCTAGTGAGATCTTTAAGTGCTGTAGGGAGTAAGTGCAAGGGGACAACCACCTTCCTGCGTGTGGTGTGGGCAGGACTAGCAGCAGCGTACAGGATCTCCCACTGCATGAAAGAGATCTTGGAAACTGGAGAGGGGCAGAAAGAGAAGAAAGGAGCTTTAAAGTTCCTTATCAGAGATGAAAGATCTGCCCAAGTGATTAGAGCTGCTCAGTATGCATGTACTCTTCCCCAAGATAAAATACCAGGTACTGAGAGTGCCTCAGAGAGGAGCATGAAGGAGCTAATGAGTGCATTAGTTTGGATAAGGATTGTGTTTTTGCAGTGAGAACAACTGCGAGGTAAAATTATCATCTTTCAATATCCTCAAATTAAGACTGGATAGCCTTATGGAAGTTTTAATCTTTGGGAGGTAACTTTTCTATACAGGCAACTACCATGACGAGATCAGTGCTTTATGAAAAATGTGAGCAGATGTTCTGTCCTGGTTGTACATATTCAAGCCTCAGTCTTCTCTGTGGCTTGATGAGGGACAAAGTTAGCAGTGGTTAGTGATGGTGTTGCTAAGCTTAGCCTCTTTGCAAGCTCCTCTTTAGTTATCTGGTGTAGTTGCTGGATTCCATCCTCCTGGCTAGCACTTAGTCCTGTCCTCCTTGTCCTTGACCACACTGCTCACAGCCCACTCATAACCTTGCCTAAGTATTTCTGGGGAGCAGGAAGCCTACCCCAGAAGGTACGGATTCTCCCTTCCTACCAGCAGCAGCTCAGAGGGGAAGGGTGGACAGAGGTGGGATCACTGACTGCAGTGCTGGGGTGCACAGAGTGTGGATGCTTTGGAGGCTGTAGCCTTGGCTTTGACTGAAGGGATCCAGGCCATTTACCAAAGAGGCGAGCAGAACTTGCCTGCATTCCCAGCTTCCCAACTTCTGGTATCCACCATACTCTGCTATCCAAACACAAAAGGCAGAGCAGCAGGGTTGCAGGCACAATCCACCAACCTTCTGCACCGGCTAAAATAATTTTAGCAGGGAGGGCAGGGATGTGGTAAGAGGTAAGTGCTTGCTAAGGGCTAAACCTGCCCTGCAGTGTGGCTGTCTGCCCTCCTCCTGCCCAGGATCATTCCACCTCTGGGCTGTTCTGTGCTGTTGCTGTATGTTAGCAAAGGAAGAGCATTGTTTCTTATTTCCTTAAGACAAAAAAAAAAAGAAAAAAAAAGTAGCAGAGGGGAATAGATTTGGCCCTCAGGGAGCACGGTGTGTCGGACAGAAAGTACGTAGTAGTAGTCCATCTGTTCTTCAAGAAGGGTGCCCTAAATCTCAGGTGCACTGCTGTCCTGGGTACCACTGGCTGCAGCAATGCAGATGTGGAGTGTGGAGCACAGAGGCTGGCTTGCAAAACATGAGTGCCAGCACTGCTCGTAAAAATGTGTCTGGCCTGTGCTCCCTGACACTCAGTTCCGCACAAGAAGTCTCCATGGGAGTCCTGCTGCAGGCAGCCAGGCAGGAGGTCAGGGTGTGCGGCCGTCTCACAGGCACTGACTAATCCTTTGAGCAGCAAAAATAGCTGTTCTCACTCCGCCTCAGGCTCCTTCGTGGGTTTTTCCTGGAAGTGCCACTTACCGTGCTGAGTCCTCAGGACTTGAGGCTGTCAGAGTGGCTCTGCTGTATGAGGCTCCCTGCAGGGCTGCTGCCTCCCAGCTTCCCAAGTCAGCTCTGTGTGGTACCGTGCAAGAGAAGGGCTGAGTTCTGATGTCTGCATGGGAACATTTGCCTTAACTAAGTCCAGGATAAGAGTAGATTTAAGTACTTTGGTTTATAAATAAACAGCACTGTGTCCAAGGTAGATTTAAGCAGAGCTGGCAACAGTCCTACTTGGGAAGGGATCTCTACTGCGTGGCCTGCTGTTGGACTTCCTGTCGCACGCTAATCCCTTAAGCCTGCTTTAGCTCTGTTAATTTTCCTTCTTTCCTTTTTTCCCCCGTGGGCTGTCTTGGTGGCACGTGAATGCCAATGTTCCTCGGCCAAGCTTGTGCCCACAGCCGGGCCAAGCGTCCAGGCTGCCTTCCGAGCACTGGGTACCATGTGGCAGGGCCCCAGGGATGGTGGTACCTGAATGTATCCAATTCTCTCTGTCTTACAGGCTCTGCAGTCTGCGGCTGAAGAAACTCACGGTGCTGAAAGAGCTGGACAAAGAGCTGAGTTCTGTGCTTATCGCTGTGAAGATCCAGGTAGGCTCCTCTCCTTGCTGCTGCCTGGTGGTGCCCAGCCCATCCTGGTGCCTCCCGTGAAGTGCTGGTCTGCATGTCCCGTGTCATGTGCCAACCCCTCGCTTCTGTCTCGGTTAGCACCCTTGTGAGATTTGGGCTCTCAGGAAGGTGGGAGTGATGCCCTGGGGGTAGCAGCAAGCTCGCTGGTGCTGGTGCCAGGGATGAATTTGGCTAGGCCTCTGTGCTGGGACAGAGTGCATCTGCTTCCCTGCCTCCTGCAGCCAAGGCCCTCCTCTCGAGCTGCTGTTCCGAGCGTGGCATCCCCCACCCCACCGTCCCTGGCCCTTCAGAAGGGCTCAGTGCTGGGTGGCTTCTGGCAGTGCCCTCCATCTGGGTGCCCTCCCTGGGGAGGGAAGGGTGGGAAGGGAGAGGCGCAAGGGATCGGTGGCTCTGTGCGTGACTTCTGCTGATGTTTGCACCCCGTGTGATCCCACTGCTGCCTCTGCTGTCCCCCTCCCTTTCTCTGTGTGCCCCCACTAGGCCTGGTGCCTCCACTCTGAATCAGGCAGGGGGGAGGGGAGAGGCTCTTTGTCACCAGGGGAGAGGGAATTTGCTGCCATGCTGGTATGTGTGATCCTCCCCACTCCCTGCCTGCAGCCGGTGGTGAAGGGATGGGTCCATGTGGGTGCAGGCACATCCTTTCCACCTGCCAAAGGACAGCATGGAAACAAGATGCCTCTTGAGTATGCTGTCCTCACCACAGCTCCCCTAACCCAGCTGGGATGCTGGTGTCCTTCCTTCGTTCTTGTCAGCTGGCAGAAAAGCTGCTGATCCCATTGAAAGCATCATGGGGCAGGAGCTCTGCAGCTTTGCACTCCCACGGAGCTCTTCGTGCTGCACACATTAGGATCTAAATCCTGGATTAGTACTGGAAGCTGCAGTATTAGTGGAGCTCTGGGAGACAAGGTTTACCTTCATGGCAGATCTGATTCACTTGCACAGAAACAACTGAAAGCAAAATGTGTGAATCCCAGGGCCTGGAGTGAGGACAGCAGGAGGACACTGGGGTTCACACACTGTTGGTCTGTGTCCCACGTTGCTGGCCTTTCCATGGCTGTGTGTTTGGGGCTGTTCAGGAGAGCTGAGAGCACTGGGCTTTCAGCCCCAAGGCCCCCAAGCCCTGTGTGCCCCTTTGTTGCAGGCTTTAGCAAGGGAACAACCTGGAAGGAGAGAGCTGCCCAGCCCCTGGAAGTGTGGGAGCAATCAAGACCGGGCCACAAGTGCCAGCAGCACAGGACCAGGGGCTGGGAACTAGCTGGGTGCTTGGGGGACTAGGCTGGTCCCTCACTCCTTTCATCTCCCTGTACTGCCAGCCCAAGCTCTGCTTCTCTGGTCTGGGGAACCTTGGGCTCCCGTGCAGCCCTCCTTGTGCCGCAGCTGCCATGTGCTGAGCATCTGTGTCCTCAGCTGCCCCCTCTCTCATGCACTGTGGATGGGAGACTGTGGAAGAGGCTGCATAGCAGAACTTCTGCTCTTTCAGAGAGATCACCCTCATCCCTGCCACGGGCCAACCCTGCACACTGCTGGAGAGAGAAACAGGCCTTAGCAGTGGCTCTTTGGGGCCACAGGACTCTTCTGTGTAGGGCTTCTTTCTCTGACAGGGAACGGAGGCTGCATTCAGGGTCTTCATTTAAACATGGTCACCTCCTCTCTGCATGGCCATGTACTCAGGGCTGTATGCTGCTGTAGGCTCCCTGCAAAGCTGAAGGAAACTGGAGGAGAATGCTTCTGCCCACATTACCCTGTGGCTCAGCACTCACTGGGGGAGCTGGGTGGGTTTGTGAGTGTCCGCAGGCTGGTGCCACCTGCCTGACCAGGCACCTTGGCAGGGCTGGGGGCTGCCGAGCCTTCCTGGAAGGCAGATGGAATCTGTAGGCAGCTTCAGCACAGCCTGCCTACAGAATGGTCTCAGATGGATCCATCCCTCCTGCTCCTCTCCTAGGTAACAGATGAGTCACACTAGCAAGAATCTATTTGAAGGCTGCCCAGTGAGTGCTGCCATCTCCATCTTTTAGGTGGAAACAGCTGATGCTGGTGGTAATTTGTGGAGGACCATCAAGTTCCCAAAGGGTCAGCTGGGGACTAGTGGAAAGGGGACTTGTATTTTTCTTAATTTCAGTGGTAGGTCTGCTGGGTTAAGGAAGTTGCTGCTCTGAAAGGCAGATTGCATGGAAACAAAGCTCTGACCCTGTCTGAGTGGGGCTGGCATCAAGATAAAAGCCCCAGTGCTTTCTATGTCTACAGAACATACCTGTTTCTCAGAGGGGATTTGAATGTTTGATGTTCAGTGGCTTCCAGTGAGATCAAGTCTGATCTACTGTGAAAAAGGGGACTTACTCTCCTATCACTTGAGCAGTTTTTAAACCTTTATCCCTCATTATTTGTTTTAACAAACTGGAATTGTCATAGAGCATTTCCTTCTGTGTATTGTTCAGCATGACATTAAAAGATTCATCTGTGCCTGGCCCAGCTCTATAACGCTGCAGATAGCTTGTCCTGGCATCATAACTGATCATGGTGTGAAGGGAAAGGTGGTGCTCCCTCTTGGCAGAGAGATGTACTATAACTCAGAAACACCCAGTCCTGAGCTGTGAGTAGAGGAAACAATCGAAGACAGAAGACGACAAGCTCTGGTGCTCCCAGCTTTCAGCTCCTGTGAGAGCTGGCGTGGGAGAGATGCAGATCCTCCTGCAGCTTCTTGCAGGATGGTGACTCAGGCTCAACCCTTGGTGCTGCTCTAGAGGGATGGTGCTGGCAGCCCCGGCACAGCAGACCAGGGTGTGTGGTACACAACAGGCCAGGCTGAGAAGCTCGTTTGCCTCTGCCAGCCCTGCCTGCTGCCCTGGCCTTGCTCCCTGCAGGAACTGGGATTTTTTTCTCCTTCTTGCTGTTCGTGGAAGGTACATGCAGAGTTTTTGGTCTACACCTCTCTCATGCTTTTTTTCCTAATCTTTTTGAAACCACTTGTAGGAGTTTCCGCTCCTGTCTGAGCAATCCCAGCTACCTCTCAACTAAATTTTCTGATGATATTTAGTGGACTATTCTCTCCCAAAATGCACGTTTAGCTTGAATTCTGGGTACTGCTTTGCTGTTTGTCTTGGCCTAGTCTCCTATACTATGTTAGTTCTCTCCTTCTCCAGGTTTGGTGTGCTCCTCTAGCCTCAGCCTTGTGGGTCTTTTAACAAGACCCATCAGGACAGATTATACTGGAAATTGGGGATTTTACCTTGCAAACCAGGCCTGGGCGTCATGTGCTTGTGTATAGTAGTGAAAGCAGCTGTATGTTTTCAGTCTGAATAGACTGAAGCAGTCTGTTAGGTAGTGAGGATGAATGATGAGGTGATGAAGATCTGTGACCACAACCTCTCCCTATGGCGTTTCACTTCCTTGACAGTCTTTGTCATCTGTGAGCTTCACTGTAACAGTCTGATATTAAGTTTTCCTGTAGTACTGATGGTGATGCTCAGCTGTTCTGATGAGAAGCTGGTCTTGCCTAACATCAGCTGAATTGCAGAACAGCTGAGGTACGTCAGGTGCTCCAGGCCATGTCCAGCTGAGGTTTGAATTTCTCAAGGCTTGGAGAACCCTCAGTTTTTCTGTGTCCTGTCACAATGTTTGATGTCACTGACAGAGGAAAAAAAATACCCCAGCATCTCATGGTAATTTCCCACATTCAAGCTCATCCCTGTTGCTTCTCACTCTGTCCCTGTATACCTCTAAGAGAATTTCCCTTCTGTCTTCACTGCACCCTCCTGCTAAATATCTGTAGGCAGCAGTAAATACCCCTTCACCCTCTCTTTTTCCACCTGAACAAACCCACCTCACTTGGCCTCTCTTGTATGCCTGTGCTCCAGCCCCTGATTGTGCTGATGTCTTCTGCTGGACTTGTTCCAGTCTGTCCATGTCTGTCATGTACTGGAGAGCCCAAACTGGCTCTGGAATCCTGTTGTGTTGTCAGCAGTTCTGAACAGAGGGAAAGAATCTCTTTTCTTTACCTGCATCTACCTGATGTTTCCCGGGATCCCCCTAGTCCCTTTCTGCAGAGCCTGTTCTGCTGCCTGGAGTTCTTCCCAGGCAGAAAAGTCACAGGGTGTGCTAGGGAAGGACTTGGCTTTTGCTTTTATTGAACCTCATGAGGGTTTGTGTCAATTTTACTAGAAATCCCAAATGGTTCTTAACTCCCTGTCACAGATGGGCAAATAGTAGCCCCCAGATGCTAGTTTCTCATCCGTTTAATTGGAGCAATGTTCATTTCTGCTGGGTCATGGTTTGCTCCTGAAGGTGATCCACGTTCCCTCCTGGGTATGAGTGTCATCCATTTCATGAAACCCGGCATACCTTGCAGGCTGAACTTGAGCTTTAGGTGGCTTTACCTTGCTGAGAGAACTGTACCTCATCTGTTTGCAGTTTTTCTACCCCGTGTTCCCAGTGCTATGCTCCATGGTGCCCTGGGAGCTGGTCCTCTGGCTGAGCTCAGACATTAAGGTCTCTCTTCCTTCATGTGACCACACCAGCCAGGTACTTAGAACTTGAGCTCAGCCAGGTTGTAGCCTCCCAGGTCATTGCACCCACAAACAACTGGCCTGGACCTAACAAGTGCTGCTGTTCAGAGTCTCTGGGCTCTGCTGCTGCTCCCTTCAGCTTGCACTGTGATAGTGAACCAGCCTTTGTCCCAGTCCTTTGGTTTCACTGAGGGCCAGAGCCTCGGTCTGGAGCTGGGTGTGTAAATTCCACAGCAGCAGTAACACACAGGACAGCAATGTTGAGGAAGCCTTCACTCACTGGATGTGCCCCCCAGACTGTCCTCACCTTTCTTTTGCTGTAACTCTGCCACAGAAATAGCATAACTGCAGCAGTACGTGTATTTTAATGAGTCATAGAATCATTAAGGTTGGAAAAGACCTTTAAGATACCAAGTCAAACCATCAAACCAACACTGCCATGAGAACTAAACCATGTACCAAGGTACCAGGTCTTTTTTGAACCCCTTCAGGGATGGTGACTCCACCACCTCCCTGGGCAGCCTGTTCCAACACCTCACCACTCTTTCAGAAAATAAATTCTTCCTAATATCCAGTTGAAACCTTCCCTGAAGCAACTTAAGCCCATTTCCTCTTGTCCTATTGCTAGTTACTTGGGAGAAGAGACCAACCTCCACCTCACTACAGCCTCCTTTCAGGGAGTTGTAGTGGGTCATAATGTCTCCCCTCAGCCTCCTCTTCTCCAGACTAAACAACCCCAGTTCCCTCATCCACTCCTCTTAAACACATTCCCCAGACCCTTCACCAGCTTTGTTGCCCTTCTCTGGCCCAAGTCCAGCACCTCAGTGTCTTTCTTATACTCTGGTGCCCAAACCTAAGCATAGTACTCAAGCTGTGACCTCAAAAACCAAATCTTTGGTGGATAGTCCCAAATGGTAAATGTGCAAATGTAAATAGTCACTGTCATAGTGACCACTTAACATCTCTTATTAAAGGAGAGTTCAGGAAGGGAGGGACTCCACCACCTCCCTGGGCAGCCTGTTCCAACACCTCACCACTCTTTCAGAAAATAAATTCTTCCTAATATCCAGTTGAAACCTTCCCTGGAGTAACTTAAGCCCATTTCCTCTTGTCCTATTGCTAGTTACTTGGGAGAAGAGACCAACCTCCACCTCACTACAGCCTCCTTTCAGGGAGTTGTAGTGGGTCATAATGTCTCCCCTCAGCCTCCTCTTCTCCAGACTAAACAACCCCAGTTCCCTCATCCACTCCTCTTAAACACATTCCCCAGACCCTTCACCAGCTTTGTTGCCCTTCTCTGGCCCAAGTCCAGCACCTCAGTGTCTTTCTTATACTCTGGTGCCCAAACCTAAGCATAGTACTCAAGCTGTGACCTCAAAAAACAAATCTTTGGTGGATAGTCCCAAATGGTAAATGTGCAAATGTAAATAGTCACTGTCATAGTGACCACTTAACATCTCTTATTAAAGGAGAGTTCAGGAAGGGAGGGTCAGTGCACTCGTGGCTAGGAAAGCTCACGGATGCTGAAAGGATTGAGCTCCACCTTCTCTTCAGTTTTACTCTCTGGGAACAGTGTTGCAGACAGCTCAGACTGGGCTTCTTGGAGGCCCAAGGAGGGTTTCCATAGAGCTTGGGTACCCGTGGGAAGTGAAATGCTGCAGCACTGCAAAATGTGGAGGCCTTTTTTGCCTCCCCTTTATAGTTATTTTTTTTCCTTGCTAGCATGGATAACAGCAGCAATGGAATTACAAGAAAGGCCTCATATCAGCACCAACGAGGCTTGCTGGACCCTGCTGAAGTTCCCATCAGCAGGCTTCCTGGCTGCTTGCTGGGTGCTGAAATACATCTGTGCCCATTGCTGTTCTCTTTGATGGCAGAGGAGATGGAGCTGTGACCTTCTTTATGGTACCATCTGCATGTTCATGTCACGACTTCTCGGGATACTGTCCCATTTGCAAGGCAGATGAAGAGCTGAGGCCTCTAACCTCACCAAGGCTCTAACTTTAGTTGAATCTAAGATTTGTCTAAGTTGCTGAAGGGCCTCTGGCTACAGCCAACTTAGGATCCTGCTGGCCACAGTAACTGTAAGGGTCAAGCTGGAAACTGTGTGGGGATGCAGTGAGGTTCTGGGAGGGGGCAACATAAATGAAGTGGGACCTGGTCCCTTTGGACTGCTGCACCTATTTGGTTAGCTTGACCCATCTGCTCACTAGCCCACAGTTTAATTGATGGAGTACTTAGAAAAGCAGTGGTAACTGGTTTGCAAGAACAGCCATACTGGTCTATCCTGTTGCCTCCCTGCATCAACGTCTCAGCTTGCTGGCCCATTCACAGGGAGGCAGGAGAGTGTGAGGAGCCATCATGGGCTATTTTATACTTGGAGCTGGTCCCACAGTCCTGTGGGGACACAGCCAGTAGGCATGGGTCTTTTGGGAGGTGTGGGAGTTGTGACCAAGAGCCTGGTCCATGCAGACAGCATTTTTCTTCCCCCAGCTCTTTCAGTGTCTCCGTCAGCAGCCAAGCTGTGGAGATAGTAACGACAGGACAGAAGTTAGAGTGCTTCTCTTACTGCCCTACTGGGACAAAAAGCTGCTTGTGTGCGTGGAGAGAGAAAGACTGTTGCCTGAGAAAAAGATGAAGAGAAGTTTTATGAGACACAAGCTGGGCAAGTGGGGCGACCCCTGTTCCTCTGCGACATCCTGCCTTGGTCCCAGCAGAGTCATCCTGCCTGCTGTGCTTGGGCAGGGGTCTGCGCTGGGTCTGCCTGCTGGAGGGCAGAGATGTGCTCCAGGACCTGTCCTTTTCCTGGCTAGGAAAAAGGTGTGTTGGGACCCTTTCCTTCCCCTGCTGGTGCTGTTGGCAGAGCTCCCACTTCCCCTCCACAGCCCCCAGTGGGCTCCAGGTGCAAGGAGCCACATCAAGCAGAGCAGGCTTTGGGAGAGCACGTGGCAGATGGGCAAAGAGGAGGGACCTTTGGCAGCTCAGGGAAAACCACAGGCTGTTGTGGAGTGTGACTGGTGTGTGTGAGTTGGCTCTGGAAGGTGGAACAGAACAGAGTCAGGGCACTGGCTCTTTACTCCTGGGCATGGACCTGTGCGTGTGGTGCGCTGGAGTCTGTGGCCAAGATGCTGCAGCTTAGCTGTGTGCATCTACCCATCTTCTTGTAGGGTTCAAAGCGAGTCCTGAGATCAAATGAATACGTCCTCCCACCTGGTGGCCTGATGGAGACGGAGCTGGAGCTGACCTTCTCACTGCAGGTACCTGGTGTTGCCTGGTCCCCTGTGCTCCTTGGTGCTCCCCTCACCTGCCGTTTCTCGGCAAGCATGGCTTTGGGGGCTCAGTGTGAAGGGGGCAGCCTCTGAGGAGGGACTTCCTCTGGTTGCCCATGCTTAGACCATAGCAGCACGGGTTCGTGCTGCTTGCCAGCTGCTCCATTGCTCCAGGGGTTGTTTTGCCAGGCATGGGGATTTGGAAGATGATGTGTAGTGCAGGTGCCTTGGAGGGGCACCTCAAAGCTCAGCAGATCAGGTGCTGCCGTACATCAGCACTGAGGGAGAGTTTTCTCTGTGTGTCACACAGAACCCTGCCCTCATGCTGCCATCTTCCCTGTGCTTCCCTTTCTCAGTACCCACACTTCCTCAAGAGAGATGGCAACAAGCTACAGATCATGCTGCAGCGGAGGAAGAGATACAAGAACCGCACGATCCTGGGCTACAAGACCCTTGCCGTGGGCATCATCAACATGGCGGAGGTACGGGACGCTGGGAGCAGAGGGCAGCGTCCCACGGCCTCCCTCTGCCAGGGCTGGGAAGGGAGCTGGGCCAGCTGGCGGGCCTTTGGTGCTGGGAGTGCTTTGGCTTCTTGGCTAGCTATAAGGCAGAGGGGGAGGGCTGCCAGCTGCCACTGTGTCACCCTGTCAGGGGGCTTGTCTGTCTGCCTAGGTGATGCAGCACCCAACGGATGGCGTGCAGCTTCTGGGCCTCCACAGCAACATGAAGGACATGAATATCCGAGTGGCTGAAATCAGCATCTACTCTTTGTCCAGTCAGCCCATTGATCATGAAGACGGGAGCATCCCCTCAGGTCCTAAAATCAAAGCTTCAGGTGGGTTAGCACTCATCACAGACCTGCAGGCAGGTGCTTGTGGCAGGACCTGGGTGACAGAGTGAAACCTCAGGCATCTGCTAGCAATACCACAGGTGTCATGCTTAGCTGGGGCATCTGCACTGTCTGCTTTCAGATCGCTCCCCGGACATTGATAACTATTCTGAGGAAGAGGATGACAGCTTCTCCTCGGAGCAGGAAGCCAGTGATGATGCTGTGCAGGGTCAGGTAAGGGAGGTCTGGCGAAGTGGCTTATGTCCTGATCCCATTTCTGGGGCAAGAGCCAGGGGTCGAGGGTCTTGGTCACCCTGGGCCCTCTCATCTCCCTTGGGGCAGAGAGCCCCAATACCTGACAGCAGGAAGAACTGTGGGCTGCTGTAAGGTCCATGGTGAGGCAAGGGACTTTGGAGGGTGATAGGTCTCACTCATCTGTCCTTGGAGCTGTTTAGTCTGCAACACAAACCCCCTGCTGAGCTCCCTCCGTCTTGCACAATGATTCTCTCCTGTCTCCCTGTGATAACAGGCCAGAGGCTGCCCTTGCTCTCAGAGAGAAGAGATTTTAGGAAGAAGTACTGTCTGGGTCTGAAAATGGTCAGAGGTGGCAGACTCGTCTCAGCCCTGTGTTGAGCTGTGCCACTGCTCTTTGTTGTCCTCTTGTGCTGCCTACACTCAAGGCCAAAAAAGACTTGTGATAGCGTGCTGCTCGAGTGTAGGGACAAACCCCTGCTCAGGATCCTCCATATTCCCTGTCCCATCATGCTGGGCTAACACATCAGGGCATCTGTGTCCCTGGGAGCTGTGTGTATTGCTGAGGCTGAGCCCTGGAAGAATATTTTTTGTGAGCTCAGGTGCTGCGACCTCTGAGCTAACCCTGGAGAGGGGAGAGCAGAACACCACATATGTCACAGGGAGGCTGGTGAGTGCAGAGAAAAGTTTTAGGCTGTGACAAGGACTGTTTCAGAAGACTGCTGTCTCTCTGAATCTTGCTGGTACACGTGGCTCTGGAGGGGCCTGGGGGCAAATGCTCTGGGGAAGGTCTATTGGGGAACTGTGTTAAGGAGGAGGGAGAAGGAGCTGCATAGAGAGGCAAGGGAGAAGTGAGAAGCAAGACTCTGGGAGCAAAGTGGACCAAAGCTTTTCAAAACAGGGGGCAAGTGTGGGGCAGAGGATCTCCTAGGAGATGCTGCTCCCTGCATTGAGTTGTTCTGATGTGATGTGACCTTTTGCCTGCAGGATCTGTTTGATGAAGAGGACGACTTGAGGAAAACTAAGAAGGCTAGGAGGAAAATGATCCGAACCACATCAATGACCAGAGTAACGTCAGCATTTACAGTGTGATCGAAGGGATGGAAGGGATTCACTTCCTCCTCTCCCTGCAGGGAGTGAGGAGAAGGGTTAGGGGGATGCTAGTACTGGTGCAGAGCAGGGGAGAGTACTTGGCTTGAGATGAAGGAACAGACCTCTTGCAGTTAATGCATTAGCTTGTTGCTCAGAGCTGTACCCCACCTTGTGCCCTGCACTGTTTAGCCTGGCTTTGTGTCAGTGGTGATCTGTGTGCAGCCCAGTTTTGACTTGCTGCTGTGGCATGGTCTCTTCTCTTCCCCTCCCTGAAGAAGGAAAGGTTGTCACAAGGAACAGTGAACCCTTTGCAGCTCCTCTGCCTGTCAGCAGAATTGGGGAGCTGCCCTGCCAGCCCCCTGCTCTCCAAGCATCTCCTCATCCCCATCTACTTCAGCCTTGCAAGGCCCTGGGCACCTTCTTCCTGAGTTTGTTCCCTGTCTTTTCTTGAAGGCAGTGTTCCTCAACCAGATGGTCTGGGGAGAAAAGGGGTTGCATCGTTCCTCATGCTCAGATACAGCAGCTTCTTGCAGAGCCCAGATTTAGTCCGAATCCTACAGCAAATTTAAAGAGCAAGGGAGATCATAGCTGACCTCGGGCCTGTAGATCCAGAAACGAGCTGGTGGCATGTTAAAGAGAGCAACCCTGGCCTGCATGTCATTCTTCTTGGATGTCATTTGATAGTTTTGCTGATCTTTTTTTTCTTCCCTTGTTTTGTTTTAGCAACCAAACTTCAAGCAGAAATTTGTGGCTTTGCTGAAGAGGTTTAAAGTGACAGAGGAGGTAAGGAGTGGGAGGGCTGCCCCACCTGGCAGCATCTCCGGCAGATGTGTAGGTGTCAGAGTGCTGGTTCCAACTCAATGGGAGCACAAGGCATGAGCTGCAGGTGTTCAGGGGTGTTATTGAAGGTGGTGTGAGACATGGCACAGGCTGGGCTTCAGCTTTTCCAAAGGAGTCTGCCTCAAGAAGGCAGCTCTGAGCCTCCCGCTCAAATCAAAAACACCTTCCCCTTGGGGAGAGGGGCCAGAGGAAGAAGGTGCTGTCACACATTGACTCTGCCCCAGGTGCTGTCATTGCAGGGGCAATCCTGTTCATAACAGAGCAGATTAACATCAGCCTGGGGGTAGCTGGCCTCGGCTGGGAGCCTGCACTGAGTGTATAGCACAGCCAGTGAGGTCCTCCCAGGTGTTTGAACTCAAAAAGTATGATGGGTGTCTGAGACTCCTTTGGATGTCATGTTCATGGCACCCTCCTTTGGCCCAGTGACAGCATTGCTTCTCCCATAGCCTGGATTTGGCTCCGTGAGGTGAGAACAGTGCTGTGGTGTGCCGAGTGCCTGGTCTGGGATACAGGTGGCTCCATATCTCCTCATTACCCTCTGGGCTTGGTCCCACAGGTCCTGGACTCTGACCCTGTAGACCAGACCCAGGAGGTGGAGGAAGACCTGGGCTTACTCTATGACAGCCTGGAAGAGTGCAACAACAGTGACAGTGGCCCGGAGATTGAGGACAATGAGAGTGTGCACAGCACACCCAAGCCCACACTGAGGTAAGGATGGCAGGAAGTAACTGACCAGCAGCACAGTCTGAGACCTGGAGAAATGCCCCCTGACACTGTTCTGCTGCTTGGGCTAATGCAGGCATTGTCTTGTCTACACTCCCATCATCATCTTCTGTTGGCATCACTGTGCTCCTCACTTGCATGTCCTGTTTAATAAACTCAACAGTGCCCATTGAAACTGGCTTCCTTCACGTTTAGTCTCATGTAATGTCCTGCCAGCCCAGCATCTGACACTGATCAGGTGGAAGAGCACTTAGTTGATCTAAGCCTCCACCCTTCCAGCTCTCATATCTTCCTGCCGACAGTCCTGGCCTTCGCAGGGCTCTCCACACTGAAGCATGCCTGTCTTTGGAGCACTTTGTGACTGCTTGGGCCAGTCCTTGTGTCCCTGTGAAATCTGCACGCTGCATTCCCACCCTTTGTGGAGCCACGTGACTAGCAACCCTCAGCAAGATTCCTCACCCTGTTCCCCAGCCCCAGGCTTGCCTTGCTCTGCCAGGCGCCGCTGAGGTGGCGCGGGGGTCTGCAGTGCGCCTGCAGTGAAGCCAGGCTCTTCCCCCATGGCACCTGTGTTCACCTCGCCTCTCTGCTCACGGCTCTTCTCTTTTCCTGCTGTCTTTTTGTGAGAAAGTTGCTTTTTATTGTCTGCTTCATAGTGTGCTGAGTCTCTTCTAGGCCAGCCAAGCTCACTTGTCGTTATTGTTTATATGGTTTGGTATTTAAATATAATTTGGGTTAGTTGGAATCCCTTGGCAGTAAGTACTCACTCTTCTAGTGAGTCTGTAGTAGACTCAGTCTGCCACAGACAAACCATTTGAAATGAAGTCTGCTGGATTCAGGAGCCCATGGGGCACTGGGGAAGAAACAGGAACATGGTAGAAGTCATGTTTTCCCCTAACCCACACTGTCTTTGTGAGACAGCAGGCACTTGGGCAAGGGGCAGCTGCTTAGGTGGTCTGCTTGGACTCCAAAAGGAGTTTCACGTGGTCTGTCATGAAAGGAAACAAAGTTGCTGTGGGAGGAAGATCTTTCTGTGGTCAGATAATGGTCTATGTATGCAAACTGTGCAAAACTGTGTAAACTGTAGGAAGTTCTGTTGAGAGTATTCAAAACCCCATCCTGGTTCTGTAAGCACCTGCTTGCAAACACCTGGTCACTGGGAGAGCATCCTGGAGTAAGTGTTCACTTGTGCTTGTACCTGCTGTGGGTGGTTGCTGCTGTCTCTGGTAGGACAGCTGTTGGGCCCAGGACTGTTTCTGGGCATGTTCAGAGTCCCTAGCTTGGTTTGCTCTCTGGTGCCTCAGTTTCTGACAGTGCTGAGTGTGTGTTTCCTTGGATTCACATTGCTGGGTCTGTACTTTTTCTAAGGAGATGTGGGAGCTGACTGCTAAGGTCTTTAGTGTAGACTCTGTGGTTCCAAGGCCCTTTGTAGCCTTCTCAGCTGGTGATGACCTTCCAACCCAGCCTGTAAATTCAAAGTGTGATCCTCACGTTGGATTTATTTAGTCTCATAGACAGCTTTGCTAGACACTGTGAAGGTCTCTGTGGCATTAAGGTAGACCTTAAGGGCGAGCAGTCACCAGTGCCCTGGATTGGCCAGTAGTGGGAGCAGATAGCCATCTTTTTTACCAGTCAGGGAGGCCATGCAGCTGTAGGCTGCTCCTGCACTGGGGAGAAACTGGAGCTACAGCTGAGGCTGTTAGGTAAGACCTCAACAGCCAGAGCCTTTAATTGAAGATGAGAGGTGAAGGAGCAAATGTGTCCGTAGGTGACTGGAAAAGTGTGGGGGGGAGAGAAGGTGATTCACTGAAAACAGAAGGGTACTGTGCAGAAAGGGTGGGATTTACCTAAACCTCAAGCTGCTGAGACTCAGACTCAGTCATGCCTGTTGGAGAGCCTTTGAACTGGAGAACAGGGGAAGCTGAGAATTGCAGGGGCTCTCTGTGCTCAGTGTCATACATCCTCTAGGGATGAATTGCTAGTGAGAGAGGGCAGAACCAGACACAGCTTCCATGGGGAAGGGGGAGATGGCCCCATTTAAGTGGGGTGTTGAAAGACAGACCAGGTATGTGCCATCTAGACACGTCCAATGGCTAAGAAAAAGGAGAAGATAAAGTTACCTTTTTGAGGTGCCAGTGACACCAAGGGTATGTCACATTCTGGTGGGATTACTGGGACAGTACAGAGGAGTTTGGGAGAGATGCTGATTGGGAGGTGAAATATTAGAAATATTGGAAAACTTACATATTTCTCTGGTTTGAATTTTAATTTATTGAAATAATCTGTATGGACTGAAATTACTGGCTGAGAAAAGAGTGATGACTGTACAGGGTGGTAACAATGTCTGAGGTCCTGTAGCAGAGATTGGAGGGGTGAAGAGAGCAGAAATGCATTCATAACAGGAGACATCATTTATCCCTGTATAACCTGGAGAAAATGTCCCACCAGGGCACAATTCTGACTCCAAACCTAGAGTTGTGGTAAATGAACATGTCATGAAGCAGCTGGTCATAGAGCCAGTGAGAGGAAAATTGATCCTTGACTTCTCTCAGACAGTGCATAAACACTGCTGCTGAAGAGCTGCTCTGTGGTGGATCCATTGTTTACTGAGATGGAATGTCCTTGTAGGAGCAGTAAAAACAAAGAACCTGGCAAACACTGTTGTGCCTGGCAGCATGATGTGCTGTGTATAGATGAGGAAACACCTTAAGAGGAAAGCAGCCAGGATGTTCAGAGCTCTATAGGTGTCCTGAAAGCTGCAGATATCTCCAGATGAGGACAGTAGAAAACAATGGAAAGTCTGGCAGTGTCCTAAGAGAACTATTCTATATCCTATGCCTCAATGGCCATCTCTGGAAATCTGCAGCCTGACATCCCTGCCTGCACACCACACAAATCAGGAGAAACTTTTCCTGGGAGTTATTGGGCAAATATATACATACATACAGCCTAGAGGGAAGCTAGCTCAGATCTCCTGCAGGGAAGTCCCTCAGTGCAAATGGGCTGCACTTGCTGCAGGGGTCCTGGGAACGCTGCCAGGTGAGATGCAGTGACAGAGCCTGCTTGTTTCCTAAAGACTGGCCCTTGAGCAGCTCACAGGATGTGGAGGAGGTCCTTGGAAAATAATGTGTGTAAAAAGGGGAAACAAATGTGGAAGGTCAGACTGTTGTGGCAGAGACAGTCCTGCTGCCCCAAGGGAGTTCCTGTGTTGATTGTTGTGACTTGGGTACAGGACTTTGGAGTTGCACTGTGGACCTCTATCAAAACTTCATCTCAAAGACCTAAAAAAAGGCAAATTTAGGTGCTATGGTAATTGCTATGCTGTCTGAGGTGTGGTTCTGTGTGCAATACTGTGATCTTAAGAGCCTCAGGGAAGGGGAAGGCAGAAAGGGATGGTGGAAGCTGCTGCTGGAAGTGTGCAGCAGCAGCAATCAGAGGCAAGGAACCCTCCCTGAAAAAAGGGGAGCAGAAGGGAAGGCAGGAGAAATCTGTGGAAGCTGTGGTCCTGCAGAGGGGTACGCAGCGTGTTGGGAGTTGTGGTGACAGAGACCATCTACCAGTGAATGGAGCAAGGTGGCAGTTCCTTACCCTGAGAGAGCAGTTACTGCTGCTGCCTAGGAGACAGGGACCCCACCTCCGAATCACTGGGTTCAGAGGTTTAACCCTGTTTGTCTGGTGTGGCCCCATTCTGTCCCTGCACCCGGCACTGTTGCAGCAGACCGTGGTGTGTGGGGCTGGCAGGTCTTGCCCCTAGGCTGCCAGGCGCTTGGACGCAGGGGTCTGGCCCCGTGTCCCGCTGAGGACCTCTCCACAGTGCCCTGTGCTTGGGGCAGGCCAGCAGGTGTGTGCTGGGATCATGGTGACTTTGTTCCTCTCTTATTCCTGCCTTTTTCTCTCCCGTCTGTCTGTCTGTCTGTCCATCCGTTCGTCTGTCTGTTTCTCTGCAGGCGTTTCTTTGAGGGAGTCTCTCATTCTGGTTCCCAGACTGAGATCGGCAGTCTGCACAGCCAGAAAGGGCAGGATCAAGAGTCGAGCAGCCCTGTGAGTTACACCACCACCACCACCACCACCACCACTACCACCACCTCTTGCCCTACTCCCTCCCCAGCCAGCCCAGCATCCCTGCAGTGCCAGCAGCTCCCTCTGAGACCACAGCTCCTGGCAGCACCTGCCTGGGGCTGCTCCTTCCCTTCTTTCCTCTTCTTTTCCCAGCACAGGCAAACAGGTAGCGATGGGGGGCATCCTCTGGGCCATGTCCCAGGGGGACGCCGGGCTCCTCTGTGGGAGCATGTGTTCTGTGAGGCCAGGCGTGGGTCACTGGCAGCTGCCCCGCTCAGGGCACTCCATCCTGCTCCATCCTGCTCTGACTCCACTCCCTGTCCCCCAGGGCGAGGCAGACAAGTGGAAGCCAGGAGCGCTGCAGCGGCAGGAAGAGCCAGGAGTGGAGTTCCCTGCAGTGGTGAGTCTAGGCCGTGGGATGTGGGGTGGGGCTGGAGCTCTCTCATGCTCCACCTTGCTTTCTGGGACACCAGGGGTGCTCACCAGGCTGGGGGCAGGGCTGTGGGGAACAAGGAAGTTGGGCTGGGGAGCAGTAAGGGTGGAAAGAGGGTTATGGTCTGCGAGAGATGCAGCCCAGTCCGCTTGAGGCTGTGCAGCCTCGGCTCTCCAGCAGGAGCACCAGGCCTGTCCCGGGCAGGGGCACCCATGGGTGCAGGGGGCAGGGCAGGGAGAGCGGTGCGTGCCAAGTGACTGTGTGGCCCTCAGGAGCTGGCTGCAGAGCAGCCGTGTTCACGGCTGGCCCCCGCACTGCCACGAGGGAGGGCAGCGTGGACAGGCTGGCCCAGCTGGGACCTGGGACCAAAGCCGAGCTCCCCAGCGCTGTGTCCCCCAGGTAAGGCAGGGCTGTGCCCCATGCCGGGGCTGAGAGGCCTCGTGCTGGCCCCCTGGAGCGAGTGGGGGCTGGTGGAGGTGGGATTTCCTCAACCGTGTGGCCTCTCCTGCTTCTCACTCACAGCAAGGCGGAGAGCAAGCAGCTGTGGCGTCCCCGCAGCACCTCTGTGAAGGACCGGCAGAGCTCCAAGGGGCAGGGCGGCCGTGCCAGCAGCCTGGACAGCGAGAGCTCTCCGGACTCGTGGCACAGCACCCAGGTGAGGCCCTGGAAGCCACTCACCTGGAGGCTTCTTACTGACCTTCAGCCGTGGACAGAGGGCCAAGGCAGCCAGCTGGGGCTAACCTTCTCGGTGGTGCTGTCGCAGGTGCCCCGAAAGTCTGTTTACGATCAGCTGAACCAGATCCTGGTCTCAGACGAGCAGCTCCCCGAGAGCATCGTGCTGGTGAACGTCGCCGAGTGGCAGGGGCAGGTGAGTAGGTGTGATGGGAGCTCCACGCGTGCGGGGAGCGGCTCCCAGGGGGTTCTCCCAACCGTGGCAGGGTGTCTTAGGGAAACTGGCACCAGCTATGGTACCTCCTCTTCCCCCCTGTGGCCCTCCTTCAGGGACAGTGCATTTCACAGCGCTGAGCTACCTGCACAAGAGTCTGGAATGTCTCCTCCATCATGTGCACACACCAGCGTTGCTGGACCCTGAAAGCAACTGCCTTGAGCAGGCCCAGGGGGGCTGGTTAACAAATTGTACATTGTGCCCTCACTGCTTGGTCCTGGCTCCCGGTGACCACACTGGTTAGAGCTTTGGTTAGAGCTTTGCTGGATGCCCTGGCAAAGGTGCCAGACTCCCTCTGCTGGCACCAGGCCCTGGGAAGCAGCAGAGGTGCTGTTTCCTACTCAGAGAACATAGCCCACTGCTCTCAGAGCATTGAGTGCATTGTCAGAGCTGGAGACTCTGGGCAGGGAGGCATGTGAGGCCTTCCTGCCTCATGCTCATCACCATGTTGTCCATGTGAGGATGGGCCCAGCCCCTGAGAAGCACCTGCCTCTCCCCATGCATGGAGGAGCTGACTGCTGAAGGTGAGCAGGGCCATGTTCATGTGTGCTAACATGCAAACAGCAGTTATATAAAGCGCTGGTGAGACCCCCTTGAGATCCTGCAGCTACATCTGACATCAGAAACAGTGCTGCAAAATTACAACAGGGTTTGTGGCAGAAAAAAAGGGCTTCTTAGAGAGAGGTGGTGGAGCCTTGACCCAAACTGCTCATCCTTGGCGTGTTCTAGCTCTAGCTCTCGTCCTGATGAGGAAAAAAGGAGCAAAGCCCATTCCCAGAGCCTGTCATGGCATCCTCTAACCCCCCTTGTCTAGCACAACTGCTTCTTTTACCCCTGTTCAGCTGCATGCAGATAGCTGAAAAGAGACAGATTTTTGGATTTTGGAGTGCCACAGTGTGAGAGCAAGAGAAGGGAATGAGCTGGGGGGACTGAACCTAGACTGAACCTAGGGGGCCCTGCTGTGTGATGGCAGGATTTAAATCACAGAGGCTCTGGACCAAACCCTTGTCTCAAAGAGCACAGTCTGGTTCTTGGGAGAGTTACACCCTTGCTATCTCAGGGTGGTGACTGCTCTGCTCAAAGTCGAGAGCCAGGGCCTGGCATGGCCAGCCCCTGCGAGAGATCTGGGAGGAGCTGGGATGATCAAATATGGAGCCAGGAGTGACCTGATGGTCTCATCCTTCCCACATGGCATGGGTGGGGACAGGGGTGGCAGTTCCATCCCAGGGGGCACAGGGGCCAGGGCAGGCATGAGCTGGTGCTCACCAGCCCAGCCACGTGCTTTAACCCCGCTCTCTCTGCATTGGCAGTACGTGAGTGAGCAGCTCCTGGCACACAAGCAGTTGGTCGTATCCACGTGCTCCGTGGCAGACATCCAGGCAGCCTTTAACACCACTGTCTCCCGCATCCAGCGATAGTGAGTACAACTTGGGCTCAGCCTGGTGGGTGCTGGGAAGGGCCCTGGCTCCCCCAGGGCTTGTTAGGACCCTTTGGGATTGCGGACACAGCTGTAGGAGCAGGTGTAGGCCCTGAGGAAAGTGGGGGACCCCTGTGCTGGCAGTGCCCCTGGCAGTGCTCAGCAAGCTGGCACTTGTCAGCAGCGGGTTTCTGATGCTGGGTTGGTTGCCCTGGCAGGGCATGTCCCCTGTCGCCCCACCCCACCTGCTGAGCCACTGAGTCCCTCACGGTCTCCTTTGTTCTCCCTTTGGCAGCTGTAACTGTAACTCCCACATGCCTCCCCCAGTGAAGGTGGTGGTGGCGGGGGACCAGAGCTACCTGAGCGTAGTTCTCCGTTTCTTTGTGGAGCAGCTGGCCAGCAAGACACCCGACTGGCTCAACTACCTTCGCTTCCTGCTTGTCCCGCTGGGTGAGAGCCACCGCAGGGCTGTCCTCTCCCACCGCCCCGAGGTCCCCTGCCTGGGGCCAATGTCGCTCTTCTCACCCGCAGGGTCTCACCCTCTGGCCAAGTACCTGGCCTCGGTGGACAACAAGTACAGCACTCTCTTCCTGGACACGGCGTGGCGGGAGCTG